TTTCCATGCAAGAAAAGAAAAGCTCAGGATGTCTGTCTCTGACACTTTTGATTATATAAAGGCAGGTTCTGCTATGCTTATTCAGATCAAGTAGCACCTATGGGCACATGTTGTGTTTAGATGTTGCTTGTAATTATTAGAATTGGGAGCACTGGCTGTTGGGAGTGTGAAAGGACAGGAAACAGGAAGGAGGGGGGAGGAGTTGAAGAGGCTGAGGGAGAGCTACTGAGGATGCAGCAGCAGCTTGGAAAAGAGGTTTCCACTTTAAAAAAAAAAGTCCTGTTGAAGTTTGTTAGTACCTTGCCTGGCTACTACAACACCACAATAAATTCCATCATGAACAATTATTTGTTAGACAAGAGTAGAACATTTGGTTTTCCTAGCAAATAGGCAGTCAGGGCAAAATCCACCCGCATAGATAAATGATAGTTGGGAAGATGAAATCTTCACCCAATTGGGGACCAATGTGTGAGTTTTCAGCACAGCCCCCTAACAGCTGCTATTCCAGCTAATGGGTTGGAATAATCTTTTCACCAGCAATGTACTTTAATGGGAAGACTATCCTACCTCCCACGTCCCTGGTCTAATGTATTTCTGTATGCTTCGTGTTCCCCTGCATGGTATTTTGCACAAAAGGGTACAATCTGGCACAACATCTGTGTTTTAATGCCTTTCTTCTCATTTGGGAGGACCTTTAATTGTACACATTTTATTCACATGAAGAATTTCACGAATTATCAATAAAATCTGTCATCAAATGTGCCACTGGATTGGGGAGAGCAAATATGTAAGTCATAAGAACAAAAAAATTCCTTGTACCTCAGTGATTACACTTTAAATATCCTCAGGACTTACCTGAACTTTTAATCTGCCCTTTCTATTATCTGTTTGATATAATGAAATACACAGAAATGGAACAAATAAAATGTAACCCTTTAAAGCGTTAAAGTCTTTTGCAAAGGGCTTTCATATTGCCATGCTAAGAAGTGCTGAATGTGATAATCCGAAAACAATACAAGTGCCTTTACAAATCATGACAAGAGCAAGTGGGAAAGGAACATTGGTTTTTTTTTAATGTGACCTACAAAAATCATGTCCTTTGTTTTATATGATATAAACAAAACATGAAGCAAAAGATTAAACACACTTGTAGGGTGAGCTCCCATTTCTTCTGGCATGCATCCACCTTATTCAACTGATTTGTGCTGTTTTTGCTTGCCAGATAGTGGGCTTTCACACCAATTGAAAAATTACAAAAGAGCAGGTCTCTGGTCTGCCCACTCTGTTTCTCCAAGATATGGATGGAAGGAGTAACCAAAGGACTCACTGCCAGAGACAAGTAGTAGAAAGAAGAAGCAACTGTACGTTGAGCAGGCTACTCTAGGTGCTTTCATAATAGAATGTAAGCTGGCATTCCACAGTTGTGGAGAACCACAGATATGCTAGCTTCATAGAAATTCCCTATATCTTTCTTTGCTGAAAATTTAGCCAGGAGTACAGCACAGCACAGCAACTGTAAGAAACTACAGTGAATTGATTTATGTAAGGAACAGGTAAAGTACTCAACTGTATGAGGGACAAGTGCGAAGGTGCAAGATTACCCACAGGTATGGGTAAATTGCATTTAAATTCCATGCATCTCTACCCAGTCATTACACCTTTTACTTGGTTTTATTTCTAGAGGTGTCAGGGTTCTAAAATATGCAATTGGTGAATAAACAATGGCATTCTAACACCAACTATATTTTGACAAAAAGAAAAGGAGTACTTGTGGCACCTTAGAGACTAACCAATTTATTTGAGCATGAGCTTTCGTGAGCTACAGCTCACTTCATCGGATGCATACCGTGGAAACTGCAGCAGACTTTATATACACACAGCGAATATGAAACAATACCTCCTCCCACCCCACTGTCCTGCTGGTAATAGCTTATCTAAAGTGATCATCAAGTTGGGCCATTTCCAGCACAAATCCAGGTTTTCTCACCCTCCACCCCCCCCACACAAATTCACTCTCCTGCTGGTGATAGCCCATCCAAAGTGACAACTCTTTACACAATGTGCATGATAATCAAGTTGGGCCATTTCCTGCACAAATCCAGGTTCTCTCACCCCCTCACCCCCCCCTCCCAAAAACCACACACACAAACTCACTATCCTGCTGGTAATAGCTCATCCAAAGTGACCACTCTCCCTACAATGTGCATGATAATCAAGGTGGGCCATGATGACCCACCTTGATTATCAAATGGCCCACCTTGATTATCATGCACATTGTAGGGAGAGTGGTCACTTTGGATGAGCTATTACCAGCAGGATAGTGAGTTTGTGTGTGTGGTTTTTGGGAGGGGGGGTGAGGGGGTGAGAGAACCTGGATTTGTGCAGGAAATGGCCCAACTTGATTATCATGCACATTGTGTAAAGAGTTGTCACTTTGGATGGGCTATCACCAGCAGGAGAGTGAATTTGTGTGGGGGGGTGGAGGGTGAGAAAACCTGGATTTGTGCTGGAAATGGCCCAACTTGATGATCACTTTAGATAAGCTATTACCAGCAGGACAGTGGGGTGGGAGGAGGTATTGTTTCATATTCGCTGTGTGTATATAAAGTCTGCTGCAGTTTCCACGGTATGCATCCGATGAAGTGAGCTGTAGCTCACGAAAGCTCATGCTCAAATAAATTGGTTAGTCTCTAAGGTGCCACAAGTACTCCTTTTCTTTTTGCGAATACAGACTAACACGGCTGTTATTCTGAAACCTATATTTTGATATTACTAGTAGAATCACAGATATTTTAGCAGTTTTTAGAAGAATCTGCTTTTAGATATCTACTAAATAATTGCATTGCACAAGTCTTCAACTTGTTTAACCTCCAACTGACCTATTAATATGCATTTTAAATCAGCAACAATATAACCGATAACACCAAAAACATGCAAGCCTTTCCCTAAGGTCACATGGACAGAAAAATTAGGTAGAATGAGTTGTACAGTTCAATGTAATCTTTACAGGGCATCGTACATTCATTTCCATATGGACATTGTTCACACTCTGTGCCTGCCACTTGGAAAGCCAGGGAAGGTTCTTTTCAGTATGAAGACTTGCCTCTGTGAAAAAGACACAACTAGGTTTGTGATGGAAGCTTCTCACACTGAATGTAATGCTGTTCCAATTGACTTCAATGGGAAAGCTTGGGCAAACTGCACATGATCTCTCGGTCATCTCCAAAGTCCTTTTCAATGGCTTTTCATTTCTAGTTAGTCTCTCTTTGGCTTCTAGGATGGTTGATTACATTTTTTCATAGGTTGCTGCTGGACTTTGCCTGTCCTTGGCTTCCCCATATCACATGCAAAAGCAGACTGGCAGATTGCTGGAACTCAAAGAGTCCAACTTTACTGTGTAATAGTATATTCCATATGAAATCTGCATGTGACTTGACAAATGTGAATCTGATGATTTTGCCGAGAGCACAGTGATTAAACCCATACATCATTCTCCATGGGTTTAAGGATTTGGGATGAACACATTAGAAGACTATTACTTCTAATGACAGTCTTGCATATAACCTGATGATTCTAGCTAGGATCTCTAATGTTCTGAAGGCACACAAAAAATCCTTTATAATAACCCCATAACAATGGAATTATGTGCCCATAAATTTACTAATAAAGCACTCCCCCACAGCCCAAGAAATCATGTCAATGTCTTTATATTCTTCAATATTTTAAAAAAATAAAACTAACTATAATCTTACATGGTTAAACAATAATATTTTTACCAATCCAGGGCCTCTCTAGTGATTTACAGCTCACTGAGTGTAGCTCAAATATTCTTGTCTAATATACATCCCGATAACGCTCACATATTCAAATGACGACTTCAGCCCAGTTCCAAGAGAGAAGGTAAGATTTCTGCAGCTATTAATCTTCCGTGATTCTATCACGAATGAAGAAAAGTTTCAATTTTGTTGTGTCACAAGCATACACCATTCAGTCTCTTATGTTGGTTTATGTAACATGCTGGGGGAGATATTAACTCTAAAAAATTGAAAAAAAAAATGGAAGCTATTTTGGTTCTTACCAATTTTGTACTAAAATTTAAAAAGCCATATACACTTGTTAATTCTACTCAAATTAAACTAATTATTTGTATTGTAATGCCGTGAAATGCCTAGGTTGTTATGTTGTAAGGTACAACAAGTACTTAAAATACATAGCACCTGCTGCTAACAGATTACAATCTAGCATTAAGACAAGACACAACAGGTAAAAGAAAGCAAACATATAATTTCCTTTTTATCATATGCTAAAGTCACTTCATTGTAGAACCTTAATTATTCAATTCTGTAGAAGAAATTTTTGGCAAATATTAGATAGTCATAGTTATTCCTTTTAGTATGAGCCTTTCTTTATCCAGTTTTATCCCAGGAGGTATTGTAAAATCCCCTTACACTGAGAAAGCTGAATTATATTAATGGACATTTTTTGTACAGGCAATTAATTATATTGGAAGTACATTAAAGCAAACGATGAACCAATTTGTTCAGCTTTTTTTTCCTTCCAGACTGTAATACCTGTCCACCACCATACAACCACAGCTTTCTCAAAAGCATTATTATTGGGGTGGGGGGGTTATTCAAGGACTCACTAGTTCTCCATATTTGGATATTGCACTGCTCAGATAATTTATGACAGAAAATGAAGTTCCCCATACTAGCCAGTCTCAGTAATTTTATAGAACTGCACTCTCACAAGAACATTTTATTGTAACCATAAATAAATGCTTATAGTATACTGCAGATAATTGATGTTAGCAGTGACTAACTCTGTTAATAACAGCTCCCTCCGATGGTCTAAATAAAGTTTATTTATGGAGACACAGGAGCTGTATAAAACATAGTATATGTACCACAGACATAAAAAACTGATTAAATAAGTGATGGTTCAGTTGTGTGTGAAGGTAATAAACATGCTTGCATTTGCTAAATTTATATGTATCTTACCTCATTCCTTTGCTCTTCAGTGGCACATCAGCCTCCACATTTACAGGAGTGTTATAGCATTTCCTGACTCTTCCAAACTGTATTTTTCCGAAAGGCTCAAGGATTTTTCTTCCCCGGTGGAATCCCTAACATGTTGGTCGCATAATCGCACTGAGTGCATCATAAACATTTTTTTTTCCACTCTCCATTGAAACATCAATAATAGTGTGGATGGGTCTTGTTACACTTACTATGAGGAATACATTCATCAATGCTTTCTAAAGAATTAATACATTATTAAGACATACTCTACGGTTGTTACACACAAGAGTAGTATGTGGTCTAGTGTAACCCGCGTGCCTAATAGGGAGATAACTCTTTAAGAGATCTACTGGGGGTGAGGGTAGGAACAGGGCCATCCTTAGCCACAGGCAGAATAGGCAGCCGCCCAGGGCACCACTCTGGCTGGAGTCCAGACAGATGGGAAGCAGTGGAGCATGTAAGAGCAGGGATGCTGGGTCCTAGAGAGAGCCGAATGCAGCACAGTCTGAGGGAGGGGATCGGCTGCTGGGGTCTCTGGGAAGGGGAGGGGTTAAGGGTGCTCAAGGAACTCACCTGTGAGTGTGACTCTTTCCCCCGGCCTGAGGTGAGGCTGCAGTATCCTTTGTTCCCCTCCCCCCCCCCGCCCATAACGTCCATTCTTCTCCCCCCACCACGGAGCATCTTCCTTTCCCCCCTCCCCTCCGGCAGGGCTGGGTTGGGTGGGGAGGTGAGGGGGGGGGGCTGACTGGCTGCGTGCTGAGGAATGAAAGTGACAGTAACTCACTTCCTCGGCAGCCGGCCAGGACTGGAGGGTCACATGCAGCTGGCTGGGCCAGATAGCATGAGTGAAAAATCAGGATAGCGGTTGGGGTATGGTGACCAGATGTCCCATTTTTATCAGGACAGTCCCAATTTTTGGGTCTTTTTCTTATATAGGCTCCTATTACCCCACTCCCCCTGCCCTGATTTTTCACACTTGCTGTCTGATACCCTAGGTGGGGGTAATTGGTGCCTATATAAGACACAGCCCCAAATATTGGGACTGGCCCTATAAAATCAGGACATCTGGTCACCCTAGCTGGGGAGCGCATCTCTCCCCTGGGCTGGCAGCGATCCATCTCATCTGGGGGGGAGCTGCTGTGGCTCCGTGGGTGCCCCATCCCTAAGATTAGATGCTGTGCTAACTTCACCATGGTCTGTTGGGCTGGTGGTGGTGCCCATTGGCTTGTGATTGGACCTGAGGGTTTGCTGCTGCTGTTGCCACTCTACACCCCAGAGGTGGATTTGGGGGTACTGCAGTTTTCTACCTATCTCCTCCTCTACTGCAGCTGTTGGACCAGCAGGCTGGGGTGTGAGTGAGCCAAGCATGAAAGCAGTACTGTGTTGGCATTTAGATTGTCATTTAACAACTTTGTTTGCCAAAAATGCTTGCTAACAATCCTGAATCCAATCTCAATATTTTTTTTTTAAAAGCCAAAACAGAAAATTAAGTTGCTGACAATTATTTGTGACAAGTTTGGTTTGGGGCAGGGAGTGGGCCAGTTTTCATCAGAGAAACAAAATAGTTTGACTGTCTTTCCTATAGCCCTGTTACTGCTAAATAGAGCCCACCAACAACTGTAATATGCTTATCTCCTTACTAGTGTATAGAGTGACCGTATCTTGTACTAAGATTCTCTTGCTTTTTTTTCCTCAGTGAGTCAGTATAGCTTTTGCCAGCCCAAAGGTTGGGCAGCCAATGTCTTACATTTTCACAGTGTTTTGTCCAAGTTTCATAAAGTAAATACACGGTTAGTATGAGTTTAAGAAGGCCAGGGACACTTCCTTGTGAAGAATCGGTGCAGCAGATCATGCTAGAGCTGTGAAAATGTCAGTTTTTGATGGAACTTTAGAGGCAGTGATTTATCATGTATTTCTGGCCATGCCCAAAATGTGCTGCTATTGCTAATGTCTTTCCAAACAAAAATAAGGCACAATAGGACTCCTGTAACATTTCTGTGCTACCTCAATCTAGAGGAGACGATTCTGTGTTGATTCATTTAGGTCACTTTGTGCTTTACCTAGGAGTAAAACTAGGGTTATATTTTGCCACTGTTTGGAAACCCAGCTTATTAAGCTGGATAATGCCATTGATCTATTTACAGTATAAGGTTGATAGAGAGTTGTAACTAACATTAAGAATGATGCCCATTATACATTTAAAACTAAAAAGTGGCTTTGTAAAAATGACATGGGTTTCCAACTCTATTGTGTCTTAGTCAGGGTGGAGCACCTTGTGAGGTGTCTTCACACTAGCTCAAGGTCACAGACTCACGACTATCCTATATGAGCTATTTTAAATATTTCTGATAATCTGAACAGTTATTTCTTTAAAAAACACCCTTATAAATTATGTCATATCAAAAACAACTTTCCGGGTCACAAAAAAGAAAATGGAAAGATGAAATAGGATTAGCTGTACAAGCACAGAAGGGTTTTATACTTAAGTTTGAACATCATGAAAACAATGAAGTTGATCAAGATCATCAAGTAACTGCCGAAGAAAATATTTATGCAGACGAAGCTCAAGAAATGCAACAACACACAGAACAATCATTTGAAACAGATGCAGACACAAACCAAGAAATTACAACAGTTGAAACTGTACTAGCATGGGATATAGATGACATTGGCACATGGCCGCAATCTTTAAACAACGAATTCTGTCCCATTATACTTGAGAAAGGCCCTGGGAGAATAAAATGTCTTGAATATCCGAAAGACATTAGAGGTATGAAATTCACAGAAAACAATTACTACAAAAGACTTCTAATGGTGAAACTGTCAACAGACGGTGGTTTGTGTACTCTAAATGCAAGGATGATGTATTTTGTTTCCCATGCAAGCTTTTCAATAGTTGCAATTTTAAGATAGCACCAAGGGTATTAATGATTGGAAAAATCTTAGTCACATATTACCGCAACATGAAAAGGCACAACACCACATTGAAAGTATGCAGAAATGGTGTAAGCTGAGTGTAAGGTTAAAAAATCAGACAACTCTTGATGCCCAAAATCAAAGATTGCTGGAGTCAGAGAAGCAGCATTGGCGTCATGTTTTTGAACGTCTATTATCTATTGTTGAATAACTATCAACAAACAATCTTGCTTTTAGAGGAAGCGTTGAGAAATTATTCCAGCCTAAAAATGGCAATTTTGGGGGTCTTGTACAACTGCTGGGAAAATTTGACACAGTGATGAATGAACATCTCTGAAGAGTAACTGAAAATGAAATACATGACCACTCTCTGGGACCAAGAATTCAAAATGAACTGATCATGCTAATCAGTGATAAAGTGAGAGACAAAATTGTTTCATTGGTTACTTTGGCCAAATATTTTGCCGTAATTCTAGATTGCACTCCGGACATAAGTCATCAAGAACAGATGTCGTTAGTAGTGAGATTTGTCGACATTCGTGATTCAGCACAGATTACAGTTAAGGAATCATTTATCACATTTTTAGACGTAGAAGACACTATAGCTTTTGGACTTCTTCAAGCTCTCCTTGATGAACTAAAACGAATGGGATTGTCCATTAGAGGACAAGGCTACGATAATGGTGCCAATATGAAAGGATGCATTTCTGGCGTGCAAGCAAGATTGCTGGCAGAAAATCCACGAGCCTTTTTTGTTCCATGTGCATGCCACAGCCTTAATTTGATTTTGTGTGATATGGCCAAGTCTTCTGTAGAAGCTATTTCTTTGTTCAGTTTGCTGCAACACATTTACATGCTCTTTTCAGCTTCCACTCAACGATGGCAAATATTCGAGCACATGTCAATGGTATTACCGTTAAGCCTCTATCTGAGACACACTGGGAAAGCAGAGTAGAAAGTGCAAAAATGTTGAGATATCAATCTGAGGAAGTTTACAAAGCACTGGTTGCTATTTCGGAAGAAGCCAGAGATCCAAAAGCTAAAAGTGAAGCACAGTCATTGGCCTCTGATATATCCAACTTCAAGTTTCTAACATCTGTTGTAATCTGGTTTGACATTCTTGTTAAAAATCTCAAGTGTAAGCAAAATAATGCAGAGTCCAATGATGCAGCTGGATTCAACACTTACCTTACTAAGCAACACACAAGACTTTTTAGTGAAATACAGAGAAAATGAATTCAAAGAAGCACAGGTTACAGCAAGAGAGATTGCACAGGCACTCGCTGTAGAACAAAAATTTCCATGTCCAAACGTGACACGAGTTTCAAGGAAAAAACGGCAAGCAGAATATGAAGGCGCAGATGAGCCCACAGACAATCCAGAAAAGAAATTTGAAGTTGAGTTTTTTAATGTTGTGATGGATAAAGCACTATCTGCCGTTGACGAAAGGTTTAATACCTTACGAGCACACCGTGAACAGTTTGGATTTTTGTATAACTAAATTTAATGAAATAGGAAAGCAAGAGCAGCAAATGACAAAGTACAAGAACCTAGAGAGCCTCCTGAAGCACGGTGATAGTTTTGATAAAATGGACTTGAACTGTACGAAGCATTGAGTACATTGTCATCAATGTTGCCACATGCAAAATCAGTGATGGACATTGTACAATTTATTCATATCAACAAACTTGTTGATATATATCCTAATGTGTACATTGCCACTCATATTCTACTGACAATTCCTTTCACAGTAGCATCAGGAGAATGGAGTTTCTCAAAACTAAAACTCATTAAAAACTATCTCCGTTCTACAATGAGTCAGGAATGATTGACTGGTCTTGCTATTCTTGCAATCGAACAAGACATCACTTTGTCTTTGTCATATGATGACAATATTACTGATTTTGCAGCCAAAAGAGCCAGAAAGATTGCTTTTAATTAAAAACAAATCCTTGTTTCAATACCTCTTCATAGAAATTTCCAATAAAATGCTGACAAATTTAAAAAATTATATTTGCATCATTCTGTCAATAAATCAGAATTTTTTCTATTGCGCTACTTCTTTAGTGCTAGTCCACCAGCATTACAGTGTGCTTAATTAAGTTAAACTGTTTTTAATAAAGTGCATGTGGCAAGTTTTCCAATACTGTAAGCTTATGTTTGTGTTGCTAAGAGCAAGTCAGGCATAGGGGCACCAGTTTAATAATCCTGCCTAGGGCACCATAAATCCTAAAGACGGCCCTGGGTAGGAATGAGTTGTATCTGGCTTATTGTTGCTAGGCTGATGTAAAATTAGCTCTCCACACTCAGAAGTTTTTGGAATTGGGTGTGGTTGTTTTGGGGTATGCTCAATAGTTCCTTGTTGCTTAACTCAGACTCCATGAGGGCAAGTAGTCAGAGCAGCTGCTTTGCA